GCGCGTCCTCGCTGTCACTGGAATGGTCGACGGGCGTAGGCGCGCGCGCGATCCCGCCGTTGCCGCAGTGACCGGCGACAGCAGGGGGCGCGGCGCGGCCGGCGGGAGCTGGGCAGCTGCTTAGATGCGACGCGTGCAGCGGACCAATGGAATCCGCAACGCGCTTAGGATAAAACTAAGCAAGACGAGTGGTCAACAGACCTGAGCGCGCACAGGGACGCATTCCTACCTCGCCGCCCCGACTCGAGCGAGCGCGACCATTAGCAATATCCTTCGCCAGACAGAGAGAAGCCTGTCCAGGAAGAGATAACAAGAGAGGAACATGGTCCGAATCTTGCAACCGATGTGACTCGAGACATCCACTCACGGCGCCGCGAGAAGCAACGATGCGACACGGGAAACTCGTCTCACCTGTCGTCACACTCCCTGCTTGTCCTCCAACGCCGCTGCACGTCTTGCGCTGCCCGCGGGCCCGCGTAGGGTAGAATGCCAAGTTCTCCAATTTCTGCCCTGCGTCAAGAGCCCAAGCTTTGCCGCGGCAACGCGAGTTACAACCTTCGTCCAGAACAATCCACACACCTTCATCTTTGAAGACGTCAACCGTGCGAAATTTAAAAAGAGCTGCACCTTCGATCGAAACGTTCTGTGTTGGTGCCATAACACCGACAAGACTGTGATCTGCGACTTCTGCGACGCGGTCATGAAGCAACGGGGTCAGCTCACCGGTGCTAGTGTCACCTGTATCATAGCAAATATCAACAGCACGTTTGTTGAAAGCCTGTAATACAAGCTTTCACTCTACAGAGATGATACGGCGATCCTCCTCGCTAATCTTCTCGATTGCTTCAGCTTGCATGTTGCTGGAGCGCCCAACTTTCTCGGCTGTTGCTTTCTTGCCTTCTGCTAGCTTCCTGGGCTGTTCATCAATCTATGTCAAACGACGACAACAATGCGCACGAAAGATATCTGGAGTGCTGCCGCGATTATTTACAAGATCGCGTGGACGCTCACCCGGGGGGCGCAGTGCCGCGCGCCTCCACTCCTTGGTCTTGTGACCGCAATCCTTGCAGGTGCGAGCGATGAAACGAGCGCTAGAACCGACCTCTGAGAGATTCTTACACCCTCGGGCACATGGGCGAGGCCACGGGGGATCTTGAGGTTTCCCGTTCAAGCCGGAAGAAGAACTCGGAGAAGGCAAAACTTTGTTTTCGGAATCTTTCGGCCCCGAAACTCCCACAAACTGTCCTCTTCCTTCGGGGGCAGTTGCTATCTGCCCACCCTGAGAACAAAACCAGATCCTCGCTTGGTTTCTTCACTTTGCGACCCCAATCTACGCGGTCTGGAATATTCCTGGGAGCGCGACATGGCGATGCCCTTTGTGCTGGCCCGAAGCATGCGCTGTACCCTGACCAGGAACAGAGATGGGATCCGAAGCAGATTCCCCCACCTCAAACTCCTCGTCAGAAACGCGAGCCATGGAGTAAGATTCGGTCGAGCGAACAGCCATGAACCCTAGAGTATCCCCCTTCGGCCTCTGTAGAAGTCTGAAGACTCTTCTCCTGGTCCTGAAGCTCTGGAGGACCCTGAAACCGAGTGGCTTCGGTCATCCCCATCCAACTCTCGCAGACATGATGCTAAGCGCGGTTGCGCCGCGAGCTGCACTGCCCGTCGCAATTCGCTCCTGCGTGCGCGCGTGGCCCGTGGCGCATGATGCGAAAAGAGAAGGGGGATCAGAAGCGAGAAACACCGAAACCCATCCTCATCGACCCCTCCTTGTTTCTAATGATAGGACGAGGGGGTGCTGGTGATGCAGCAACACAACTGACAGATGTGAACTTTTGTTCGTCGTCGCCCTCGCGTAACTGGACATGGCGCTCGCAAGTGCCTTCTGTATGCGCTACCATTACCGTCCTGGGTTTGCCCTTGCATTCAGGGCCCCCGGACCAATGGCTTGTTTCGTGGCCAGTTTTGAATTTCGAGCGTTTCTTGATATCCTGGAGCCGCTTATTGCGATCTTCCAGGGAAGGTCCCCCCTTGCCGCCTCCCTTAGGCGGCCAGGGCGTGTGGTGGGAACTCTTGCCTCCGCTCTTTCCTTTGCCTTTGCTCCTCCCCTTGGTGCCGAGGTTGGCTACCGGGTCCTCTTGGATCGCGTGAGTGGCTTCGTCGTCTGCGTATCCAGCCTTGACCATCTCGTCGACCACCTCGACGTCGAGCTCGCTGCTATCCTGGACAGGAGCCCAGTGAGCATACGATTCCTCGTCAATGTAGGTGTGTTCGTCGGCGTAGTCATCCCATGCCGTGTCGTCCCAGCCGTGCTCTGGCGCGTAGCCGGACGCCTAATATCCGTAAGGACTCAGCTCCTCAGGGTGATGCTCCTCCTGCTCGCACCATCATTCACCAGTCGTGTAGAAGGCGTGTTGTGGCCTGGAGAAGAGCACTTTGCCCTTGCCCTTGCTCCTGTTCTGGTAGCTGGGTCTGGGCTGCGTCCACGCCGAAGAGCTGGAGCCTTTACCGGACTCACCCTGGCCGTATTGGCGGATGTGTATACGGCCATGCAGAAGGATCAAAACATCCTTGATCTTGTCGAAGGTCGTCACATGTCCTGTGGATGCCAACGCCATCAGGTTCTCCGAAGGCGAGAGACCTGTATGGTCCAAGAGAAGTGATCCAATCATATCGTCACTCATCAAGATCTTAGGATCTAGCTTGGAGACAAGTTTCCACCAGCGCTTCCTTCGGGAGATGTGCGGGACCATAGACTCACCGTGCTGTCGTGACAGTGGTCCATATGGTCTCTGCCCCACCAGGAACAGGATCTTCGCTCCCTGTGCCTCTATGGGGAAGGGTGCCTCTATGGGGACGAGCGAAGTACGAATCGCCAGCGCCAGCTGGTCGATCCCATTCGGAGTCAGAAGCACGTCCTTACCGATATCCATGACAATATCAAACGCGTCACCTCTGAGGCCTTCTCATCCTTGTTGACAGCTGCGGTGATCCCGTGTTGCTGTGGCGCACCCGTTTTTGATCCACTGAGGCCAAGGAGGCGCTCATGCGCACCTCTGTGCGGAATTCCCACACGTGGAAGTTGTTCACCGTGCCGTCGTAGACGTAGGAACCACTCTTCGTCTCGGACCGCGTCAGCGCGTCGGCGCTCGGCCGATAGCGAAGAGAAGAACGTGCCATGGCGCAAGGCTCAGTCGCCTAGCGAGGGAAACTGCCAGTACGGAAAGTAAGGAGAGGTTGTGCTACACTCTCTGACGAGACGTGCGCGCACTGGTACGATACGGGGATTGTGTGGTAGCTCCGCTACCAGTGTGATTATGATGCGTTTTAGCGCAATGGTAGAAAAAGGGGCCCCTAGAGGTCAAACGGCGGCGAGTGGCGGCGAATGGTGCGTATACACACGTCACGCATGCACTGCCTCACAGATGCTAGAAGTAGGGGCATGCTGTAAGAGTCTGAAGACCACGCGCTTCCGTCGAAATCACACAAGTGGGAAGGGCACGCAACTGCATCATGAAAGTGAGCACAGAGAACGCGAGCGAGTTGTGCTTTCCGTCAGCCCAACACACAACAACCGAATGTATGATGATGATGACGAAGAGAAGATGATGGTGGTGATGGTGATGATGGTGGTGCTGATGATGCTGCTGATGGTGAGGATGACGCTGGCGATGATGATGATGATGGTGATGCTGATGATGATGATGATGCTGTTGGTGCCGCTGGTGATGAGGCTGATGATGTTGATAATGATGATGATGCTGCTGATGGTGATGGTGTTGTTGGTGACCATGATGATGTTGATGCTGATGCTGATGCAGATCATGATAATGATGACGATGATGATGAAAGTGATGATGACGGCATTGACGATTATGCTGCTGATGATGCTGACGATGCTGAGGATGATGACGATGCTGAGGATGATGATGATGCTGCTGCTGATGATGATGATGATGATGATGACGCTGGCGATGACCATGCCGATGATGATGATGGTGATGCTTACGATAAGAATGCTGATTATGGTGACTATGACGCTGATGCTGTTGCTGGTGCTGATGATGATGATGATGATGATGATGACGATGATGATGGTGATATTGATGCTGCTGCTGATGCTGCTGATGATGATGACGATGATCACGCTGATGATAATAATGATGATGATGACGATGATGATGGTGGTGATGTTGTTGCTGCTGTTGCTGCTGCTGCTGATGATGACGATGATGATGATGATGATGATGATGATGATGATGATGATGATGATGATGATGATGACAGGGTCTCTCGCTCCGCTGATGCACTTGGGCGCACCGTGACACGGATGCGCGGCCCGCCTTGGACTTGCCGAACCCTGAGGTGAGCTTGCTGGGCTCACTTTCGGAGGCTCCCGCCGAGCTTCCGCCAGCTCCCGCCAGCGGACCCGCCGCCGCCGCTCCACCTCTGCCGACCTGCCCGCCGCCTTCCGCCGAGGGCGAGGCGCGGGGAAGGTGAGGCCCAACCCGCGGGGCCGCCCCGCGCGAGAAGCCTGGGCCAAGTGCACTGCGCAGAGCCTGCAGGGCGTGCTGTGCACGGTTCTGTCGGCACAGCCCTCAGGACGAAACCACGACGAAGAGAAATTCGGGCGAGGATAAGTCGAGAACCTCTGAGATCCCGCGGCTCTGGAGGATGTCTCGGGCGCCGCGGCCTTCTCAGAGCGTTCCGGAACGCCCTAGATCGTTCCAGAACGCGCTGGCAGAGGTCTATCCTGGTCCTAGCCCCATCCGAACCCTGTTCATGCGCGCGGGGGGCTTTTAGAAGCCAGGCGGGCACCCTGGAGAGCTGCCGAAGATCCGCGGGGCCAGAGATGTTTTAACGGCAGTCGGATGTGTGTGGGGGGGCACGTCCGCCAGCTTCGTGTCGTGACGCCTTGCACCTTGGCTTATGATCCGAATCGAACGGTGCAGCCCTGAACGATCGCGGCTTGACGATCGTGCGGATCGTTGGGCATCGGCTGATCTCGGGCCAGTGGCGGCGCTCAACTTGCAACGCCCACGCTGGGGTCGCCGCCAAGCAGCTGGAACGGCAAGTAGGGTGCTCACGATTCGCATTTCTTCATTACTCACTCATCGCCAGCGGCCGTATCCTGTCGAAAAATTGAATCGGCGAGGGGCCATGGGCGTGTGCTATCAGAATGGCGCTGCGGGTGCGCAGCCCTACTCCCCATACCGCAGCAGCATCTGCCCCTGCAGAGAATCGGACCACGCGGCCAGGTCGGCCACTCGGGTGGGCAGGGAAGGCTCGGTGGCGAACTGCTTGGGGGGCAGCGCCCGGTCCAGCACGTCGGCCTGCTCGACGATCTGGTCTACGCCCAGCAGCGCAACCATCGCCGCAGAATCACCCTCCTGCGCGAACCGCACCATTGCCCGCAGGGCGGCGTCCACATCGCCGCCGGCCGCCACCGCTCCCAGCCTGTCCGCAGATATGACCTCCGCGCGCAGCTTGCCAGACCACGCCCGCAGCGCCCAGCTGGCCAGCCGCAGCGCATGGCCCAGCCGCCGCTCCTCCTGCCGGCTGAGGCCCAGCGCGGCGCCCGCTACCCGGGGAGCCGCGACGCCCGCTGTGGCCACGCAGAGCGCAGAGGCGCCCCCGGGGGCGCGCAGCTTCGCGCACGCCGCCGCTGCCAAGTCCAGCGCCCGCAGCTCGCGCGCCGCCACCGGCTCCGCGCGCTGGCCAGCCAGCAGCAGGTCCAGGTCTAGGGCCAGGTCCACGAGGCCGGGCCAGCAACCGAAGCGCAGCCCCTGGTACAACTGGCAAACTTCCACCAGCTGGTCCGCTGCGCGGCCCAAGGCCCTGCGCATCTCGCGCGCCGGGTCCGGAGCCCGCGACCGCCGCTGCGTGCCGGCCGAGGGGCCCCCTCGGCGAGCGGCGCCCCCGAGCACGAAGCGCGGCAGCGCGAAGACGTCGGAGGCAAAGCGGGCCAGGGGCCACGACAGCAGCGGGGCGCTGTGGTGCAGGGCCACGCGCCCTACTTCTCGCCCGATCAGGAAGCGCAGCTCATCACCCTCGAACAGCCGCCCCACTGGCTCGGTGGCAACCAGCCGCCACCGGCGCCCAGCGCCGAGGCGGAACATGGCCAGCTGCGGCCGCGCTCCACGGATGACCTGCACTTCCGGGCACTGCACTGCGGCGAGCTGCGCCCCGAACGCCCGCTGCAGTCGGCCGCAAGCGTCCGCGGCTGCCTCCTCCAGCTTCGCCTGCAGCACCGCCAGCTGTCCGCCCGCGTCCGCGCGCGCGCGCAGGCTTTCGGCGTGGAAGTGGAGGCGAACCGGGCCGAGGAACACGTAGCCCGCCAGGGCGGCCAGCGGCTCCACGAGGCGCCAGACGGGCGCCGCCGCGGCGTCCAGGTGGCGGTCCCAGCCGGCCTGGGCCTGCTCCAGGCGCGCGAAGGCCTCGACGCCGCTCCGTGTCCAGGCCGTGGCCACGCCGAGGACCAGCCCCGCTGCTGCGACGCTGTGCCGCACGTGCCCCCGCCGACGCTCCCGCAGGCGATGCCTCCCGCAGCGCTCCAGCCTTCGGCCACGCGCCGCGGGGCCCGAGGACATCCCCCCCCCCCCGGCCGGACCGGCCTGCACCTCTTCCCACCCCTCCCTACAAGCAGAAAAGTGCTCTGTCACCTCGCGGCTCGCAGAAAACCTGGGTGCGGGGCGGGGCTTCATCCACAACCACCGCCTGAGGGGCCAAACGTATCCATATCCACCACCTGCCGAAGTTCAAGAACATCGTTTCCTTGAGGCGGTGGCTGTAAAGGGAGAGGAGGGGAAGGACCGGTGCAAACCCGGAACTCATCAACGATATTGCAAGAATCCCTCTCTCAAAATTTCCCCCCGTGGGTTTTCCTACAAAAAATCCCTTTCACTGACAGAAATGCCCCGCTGGAAAACAACAGTTTGGAAACAACTGAACTGCGCCAAAAGACTTCAACGCCGCGAATTACCATTACTGTTGCGTCTCGGCGATCCTGAATCGTGCCAGAACGCCATTCCTGGGAGTACAACGCCACGAATCAACGGAACTGTTGCGCCCCGACAGCCCGACATCGTGCCGAAACACCGTTTCTGGTACCTGAACCAGGAGAGACCCTGAAAGTGCTGCACAATCATAAGCGAATGTGCGCGGCATTAAAAAAGATAGCCGCACTTAGCAAAAGGAGCCGCCTTCCATCCGTGAGGCTCTCGTAGTTTGTCACAACGAACGTGCGCGGCGCTAAACCGAGAACCGCATGTTGAAAACCACCCGCCCTTCATCCATGGAACTGTGGCGAATTCAAATAAACCGTCCGGACCACAAGCGGCCATGAAGTCTCAAGCGAAACGCCCGGCCCGCCCCTTCGACCTCGGGGTACGACAGGGACAAGTTTTTTATCAGGGAAAGGAATGGAAGGAAAGGGGGGAGGTGTTGGGGAAGGGATGGGCGCAGGGTGTGGGTGCCTTCTGCACTGGGGGCAACTGCCCTAGATCGTCGAAGCTGCGGTGTCATACTGAAGGCCCTAACGGGGCTGCTGGTCATTAGCCTGGTGGGTTTCTTACTCGGGTCTCCTCTCAACTAAGAAGTGTGCTGCGGGTTGTCAAAGCATGGGTCCCTGTCATAAGTCTGATCTCGTTCACGCTGTGACATTATCTGACATGGTGCCGCCGTCCATCTTAAGGCTCCTGCAGGAGATCCAAAGAGACAAGAAAACCCAGTCTTCCTGTGTAATTCGGAAAAGTTTCAAAGCATGTTCCTCATCTTGCCTTGGCCAGCCTCTTGGAAGTGAATGCTTACAGCCGACTGAAGGCCGTGCAAATTGGGCTTGCGATTAACAGTAGGTCTGCTTGGCGCTGGATATCTCCTTGGCTTTTGCACGCGTGGCTTCGCAATTGAAATCCCATGGGCTCCGCATTCATCGCATTATCTCCACCGTGCCAGTAGCTCGCGCGGGCAAGAAAGCCTCGGCAGCGTGCGACTTCACATTGCGACGGTATTAGCCTCGTGACCTCACAGCTTCCCTGATCTAGTCAGGCACGTACCTCATCGGTGTTCAAATCGTCCTGCTCTTCACCTACATGCTCAGATCTATTTTCTTGCGCGATTTCGTCATCGGGCCCCTTGCCTCCCTCAGCTTCTACATCCTATCGTTGTATATATTTGTCCTCGTCCCGTTTATCCCTGACATCCCTGGCCATCCCATCGCCCCCTGGATCCTCTGCCTCTCCGTCCACTGCCGCTGACCTTGGCGGAGCAGCGCTGGCCGGGCGCTCGTCATCATCGCCGCCGCGGATAACGAGGAACTCAAGCCATCCCGCCCAGGGCCACCGCAGCCCGTGCCAATCGCCGATCATATCCCCCATCTCACCAACGTCCTCTTTCATTGCTCCATCGCTCATGGGGCTCGAGCCCCGATGCCTCTGGGCGGGTGAATTTCTGATCTGGGTTCGCTCATCCACCTTGAGATATCCAATTGCCTCTGCATGGCCCTGCCTGGAACTGTCGGACTCCACCCCCAGCTGGGCCTCAGCTGACATTTCGTGGTTGATGGGGCCGCCAGATCTTTAGAGCCGCTCGATCACGGGCCCATGGCGCTCCGCGCCGCGCGGTTCATGGGCGGCGTTTCCCCTGGATATCGCTCCCCGCCCGCGACGCCCCGGCGTTGGCCCCGTCGCCATGCGATCCGACTTCTTTACATCTGCCCCCCGAGCAACTAACGGCCGGGTCTCGACAGCCGTGCCTGGACTGGGCACGCGCATCGGCAGCATCCCTCCGGCTTGAACGTCCATTTCAAACATGTCGAGGTCAGCTTACGTAGGGGTCCCTTCGACGTTGTTTACCGCGTCTAAAATCAACTTCTCCGCCTCGCTTCTTCAGTGCCTGACCTCGCGAGACTCGATGGCGCCTTCTGGAGTGGCGACAATGAGCTCTCTGCTGGTTTCACGCGCCCCCAGGAAGATGCCACTCCCCCGCCTTGCTCTGGAGTCATTGCCTCCCTTTTGTTGGCGGAGTCTCCAGGTGCATGGTTTACCCCGCAAGCTCCAACAACAATGTTGAGTTCCCGCGAATGGCCTCTTCCGTGAGACGTCATGCCGTCGGTGTCTAGCATGATCTTGTTGATGGGGGAAGATGCACGAATCGCAAATCAAGGCGTAATGACGTGCTCTTCGCCTGCCCAAATTTCACATGCGTCGTCCAAAGCATGCTTTAACGGTTCAAGTTGGTCGTGCGCTGTTCCGATGGCCCTTGCGACATCACCATTTGCTCGGGGGTCTCCGGCCGGTTTAACTTGCACTCCCATGTAGAGGTCGCGCGAAACTTTGACGGCTTCCTTGAGCGCCGTGCTGGATTACTTCGCACCACTCTTGAAGACTGCTGTTCTGTGCCCAGTGAGCAATCCTATATGATAAACTAATGACAGAAAACATGAATCCACGCCCCCTTCGGAACGCGCTGAGCCCCGCTTGACTTGGTGCCCCGGCGGCGCACTTCGTGACTGGGCGCCCTCCGCCCCCAACCGCGCTGTCTCCTCTTTTCCCGCTCAGCCACAGGTAGTCGGATGAGATCACTGGTGCGCCTTGCTTAGGCGCCTCTTTTTTTCTTCCTTTGCAGTGTCTTTCCTGCTGTTTCTCCAGCTTCGGTGGGGCGAGTGAGTTGCATTGTGCAACTCAAAACTTATTCCGCTTGGTCCAAGGTCACATGTAGCTATTTTGGGCACCTGGGCCTCCAGCCACATGGGCATCCTTCGCGCCACTTCGCTCGCTTCCCCGCATCCTTGCCCTCTTGGTCGCCCTCCAGAATCAGGCAGGGCGCCAGAATGTTTAACTGGCGCTCGCGGGCTCAATCGGGCGCAGTAGAACAGGTCCGCCATGAAAGCCCCCTGCCTGGGAAGATCCCCGCATCTCTCCGCGCTAACCTCATGACTCGCAGCCCTTCTCGGGGCCCAGATAGTGAACAGGAGCTTGCCAATGTCTCGATAGTAATCGCATTTTGCCCAAGTGCCTCGTGCTCGACGCACCTGCAGGGTCGCGCATCGTCGTCTCGAAATTAGCCTCTGCGATTCCCCGCTCTGACCATTTCACGAGCAGGCCCGGGCCCCCCTTTAATTTCAGCCACGTGGATGGGCGCGCTCAATGACCCGTTGCCTACGGTCCCTGATGACTGCCCTGCACAGCTGCGCTGCAGGGTTTGCCGCTCTTGGAAATCTCCTCGGGTATGTCAGGGAAGTGGGTTTTCATTTGTTTGACGTCCAACAACGCTGTGGGCCCCTGGAGACACTCCGACAACTAGTCTGTCCATGTCGCTGACTTTATTGTTGGATCCGCCCGTCTCGGCAAATTCGCATGTTCGGCGCTTTTTTGTGCGTCCAACTTCCGCCCTGCTCGATGCGCTCCGTAATTCGGTTGTCCGGGCCGGTTCCGTGGTCCGAGTCAACAACGCCGCGCTACTGTGATGCGTGCTTCTTCTTGACATCTTACCTTGCCTCTTTGTTCCTCCTCCTTGTCGCCTGGCGCTGCGTCCTCCACTCCTCGGCCATTTCATCCGGCCCCAATGGTGGTTGTCCACGGCTCCGCGCGCGTCAGTTAGTTCGCCCACCTCGACGCGATGGTATCCCGGCCCTGGCAGAGGTTGTCCTGACAGCTGCGCAGCTCCCCTGGGCCTCCTGCCGCCATGGCCGGCGGTGACATCGCTGGCGTTTTTGGGATTGCGGGCTGCGACGTGATCCTTCTCGCCGCACTTGTAAAACTCCCTCTAACTGATCAGCGCCAAACTTCTTCCGCACCTGTCTTAGCTTGTTTCGTTCGCGTTGCCGTTCCCGGCTATATTTTCCACGTTCCGGGACCGCCAAGTGCCTGCCTCGCAAGGGGAACCTGCGACGTCTCCATTCGTGCCCCAAGTTTCCACGGTCGTCTTCGTCAGCCTGGCCAGTTGCCATTGCGCCATTGCTCATCGCATCGGCGTCCAGCCATTTCCCCCAATGCCCAATCCTCGCGCATGACGAAGCGCGTTTGTTAGGTGCCGGTGTTGAACGACCCTGCGGTATTCAAGCAACGTCATTGCTAGTCGGCAAACCAATCGCCTGCACGGGCCATGATGACCCTCGAGGCTGTAGCCCTGAATGGCAGCGGCAACGAATAACTAGACCCGCACTTCTTCCCAGGGCTTCTACTGGCGCGCTCCAGTGCTCAAGCTGCACGGCCACAACGCTCATTTTTAACGATGAACCATCAAGACGTCTCCTTCACGTGGACACTCGCGCTCCCCCGCGGATTTCCCTTTTAAGCTCGCCATCAAAAAATGCCAGAGGTTCGCGTCCAACTGGGCAGGATCGTCCTCGTCCAACTCGGAATTTCCTGTTCCGCCTTCCTTTTGTCATTTGATTTCCCGGCGCCTTGGTGCACCGGCTCAATGTTAACTCCCCGCTCGTGATCGTTACCGAACTGTCTTCTGCGCCCCATCTACGGTTTCGAAAGCGTTGTTATTCGTTTCTCAATGATCCTTTGGTGTTGGGGCCTCGTGTTGAAGGGACAGCGACCCGCGTCGCTCCTCTCCTCCTCTTCCCTCTCCCCCTTCCCCCCCGTCCCAATCTCTGCCTTCCTCGTCGCCGCCGCCCGCGTCATCGGCGTCATCATCGCCATCATTTTCACCGCCATCGTAGCCGCGATCATCAAACTCAACATCATCATCATCGCCCTCCTCCTCATCATCGTCATCATCACTAGTGCTATTATTGTTGTTCATATTAGTCTAC